TTGGTAGGGGATGACATGATGACTTGGTTTCGTTCCACCCCTGGAATTTGGCTAAAGTGGGGGGGGCCTAATGTTGACCTCATATTAATTTGATAGGGGGGTGTCCTGGGTTTAGTGGGGAATCAGACCACTTTTGGAGGGGCCAAAACCACCCCCTTCTTAAGTCAACTGGTTTATTATGCTGGGGTCAACATTGCCCTTATCTTGAACCCTGAAGGGTTTTCAATGCAGTCCTACCTGAAATGGAGGGTCAACATTTGGAATATGGAGATCAACATATTTGAGATTCCAGCCACCAAATGGTCCAAAAAGTCCCTAAACATGGAAAATGTCTCGATACCACCTAAAATCCCTTCGATTCCCCTGTAAAAATAATAATCAAGCAACACCCTAAACATGGAAGATGTTGAGATCACCACCTAAGAAAAAACAAAACCCTGCAATGATGTAAATATAAACAAGCATTATGGCTTCATTCCCATGGTGTCAAGTTGCTGCGAATTGGATTTCGTAGTATCAACCCCCTCCACGTTTCCTTGCGCGTTCCGAGAAGCGCAAGGCCCAGTTCTCCGTCGCCAGGCGCTGGACCTGCCGCCCCGAGTGTTTTTTTTCGTCGGTTTCCTCTATGGACCCGAAAGAACTACCCGTGAAAAATGAGCGATTGCCAAGCAAAAGTTTGGAGGGTATAACCCGTGTTAAAGTTGGAATTGTTTGAGGATTCAGGGTTTCTTTCCGTTTGCTTTTCCCCCCCTGGCTCCGAACCTCTGAACTCGCAGTTGCGTCACGGTGGTGGACGGCGTGTAGATGCCCCCCTGGCTCCGAACCTCTGAACTCGCAGTTGCGTCACGGTGGTGGACGGAGTGTATATGCCCTCCCCTGATCTCCAAAGGTCCCATCCAGTCAGGACTGCGAAAATCGCAGATCCCTTCACTCCGCACGGGAGGACATAGGAAGAACTGCTCATTCGTGCAGTCACCTGGGAGACGCTCGAGCCCAAGGCGTTCCGCGTAAAGAACTCCACGGTTCGCTCCACGTCCTCTGCCTTGCACCACTCCCCTTTCAGGCCATGCAATCTGCCTGCCCGTCTCAAGGCGGCCGCCAGCAAAAAACTGAGAGAGAGAGAGAGAGAGAGAGAGCAAGGAATAATACAACATGTTCTTAAGCAAATGGATCGAATGCCTACAAGGGGAACTGGGATCTGGATCCATTTGCCCTCCCACAGTTGTTCACCTGCAACCTGACGTTTCTGCGGGTCCTGGTTTGGACCATGTTCCATGATTAGAGTTAGGCCCACTTTTAGAATGTATATTTTCTTGTTTGCCTCACATGGAGTCACTGGTAAGATGTAAAATGTATCCTAAGTCTATCCCAGTTTCCTTTTAAAGGGACCTGGTCTTCCATGTTCCTTGGTGGAAGGGTACCTGGCTTTGGGAACTTCAAGGCCTTGCCAGCCTAAAACCGAAAGGAACATGGCGAAGGGTTGCCTATAGTGGCGAAACGCCTGGAACCCACCTTCCCCCTACCTGGAGACTCCAATTAAGGTGGAGGGGGGTGGGGGGTCCGGGACCCAATTCCAGTTATCTTAGGTGATATCTACCCCCTACACCCAATACCCACTTTTTTCAGGGTATGATGTCGGCCCTCTACTAAAAAAGGAGGTATTTACCACCGAAAAACCAAGTTGTTCAAAAAATACCCTAGAACATTTGTGTATCTGGGGTAGGGGGTAGTCTTCCCCAGGAAAAAGGACAATGGAACCATAAATGGAATTTAAGGGGAAACCAACCTACAAACTTGGGCGATTCGCTCTTCTGGGCGGTCTGCCGTTTTTCCACGGCACGCAGAAAAATCGGCCAGTCATGCTACCGACACATTGCATGCGGGATGCTAAAAGTGATACACTTTTAGTGGGTGAAATGACCCCCCCGCATGACTTATTTGGGTGTGGCTCAAAATTAAACAGGAGGGGTTACGCAGGGTTTGGTCCATGTTTCCACTTACCAGGGTTCCATTTTGGAATTCCGGTTTTTTGAGCCACAGCCATTTCGGCTTTTGGTGTTCTCTCATTTGTCGCCTTGGTTTCTTCGGGGCCGCTGGACAGTGTTCAAGATGCTTTGCTTGCATTGCCACGGTCTTGTACCTTTCCTGTTTCCGCGCCTTGCTATTTTGGGAGAGTGTTTTGCCAAACGGGACAAGGTCGATTCTCAACAACTGAGGTCGATTCTCAACAACTGGTTTATTGCAGCCCAAACATCAGTAGTTTACCTTCTTCAGGGTGGTTTGAGGGTCCAGGTAAACTATTCGTATTGACTTGCCCCTTCTACTACTTGGATGCTTGGCCAAGATAGCAAGTTGTTAGTCACCCGGGTTATACTCCACGCATTTTCAGGCTCGGGGATATCTGGCTCAGGGTTGTCGCCAGGATAACTTAGATGACCAAGAACTTACTGACTTGGCAAATCAAGCTAAGTATATTGATCAACCCCAGTTTGTTAATAATGTTAACCCCGGATGAATAAACCCCTGGTTGATTAATAGGGGGGGTGTCCCCTTTTAGTGGGGATTCAGACCACTTTTGGAGGGAACACCCCCCTAATAATGGGACGGGTTAAAAAATCCTGGGTCAACATTACTAGGGGATGTTCCCCTCCAGAAGTGGTCTGATTCCAACCACCAAATCCAGTAACACCGCCCTATTCATAAACTGGTTGGTTGATTCTGGGGTCAAACAAATCCCCACTCTGCCCGTCGGATTTGTCCGCCTCTGGATGACATTCCAACTGCCTGGCACAGGTTCGTGAACGCGAGCCAAGGGATCCGGATGGCTTCGTATGGGTCGCCCATCTCTTTTTGGAGCTGAACCCGCCAAAATTATGGGATGAATTTTATGTATTGGTAGTTTGAGGGTCCAAGTACCGCTTTTTGGTGGGTTTCAAAGGAAACCAAAAGGAAACCAAAAGGAAACCAAAAGGAAACAAGCACAACTTGCTTCCATTTGCTCGTTTTGCCTCCTGCAAAAAAATGAAATATTTCCGGCAGTGATAGATTCCCAAACAAACAAATTTTAAGCAAATGGACGTTGTTGGGTCCCAGGACAAACGAGCCACCCATTTAGAGCGGCCGGACAGACCCCTAAGGACCTGGGAAGGCTTCCGTCAGTTGAAATGTCGAGCTCGTCCGTTGCCAAATGCCCGCCTTGTTGAAGGCATTTCTTGGAAAAACCGATCGGTTTTCCAGGCTGAGTAGTCCCATCCTTTTGTCAAGGATTCACAAATCATCCCCTGTCATGCCATTAAACCAGTGGGTATTGGGTGTAGGGGGTAGTGGGAAATGCTAGGACCGATGGGCAAAGGCCCTTGCTTGCGACGCCGCGCGAGAGATGCTCTTTTTTTCCCGACATGGGGCTTTCTGGACCCGACATGAAAAAAAAAGGAACTCACCAATCTAGAAAACAGTTTGGATGCGCTTTTTGTTGATTTCACCTGTTCTTTCCGGTGTAGATTCTTTTTTAGTACTCTTTTAGTACTCTTTTACTATCCTACATGGGTGGATCCACAAAAGCCACATCCAAACAGCTTTCTAGAACCAACCATAAAGTTCGGGGTTGCAATTACCCATTTTGAGGCTCCTTTGGAGGCCACATACATTTTGGGAATTCACCCGCCACTCAGTTGCTCGAAATAAAAGGTGATCACCTTTTGGGCCATGACTAAAAGTGGACCAAAAAGGGGAAACCAAAAGGTCAAAAGGTCGATCCGGTTTGGGCAAGTGAGGCCATAATGTTTGGGTTGCAATAACCCATTTTGAGGTTCCTTTGGAGGTAACCCATTTCCAAAAAGGGGGGGGACACGGGCCGCTCGCCACTGGGCAACTGGACATTTCATCTGCCTGGAGTCTCATTCTGACCATTTAAAAATAGGGTCATTACCCAAGCTTAAGGGGTCATGACCCCTTTTTCTAGGGGTCAGAAGGAGACTCCAGGTACTCCCTACACAATACAAACGTTGTTTTCAGGGCATGTCGATCCTTTACCAAAAAGCGGGCTAGTTAACCTGGTCAACCGAACGGTGTTCACAAAAACAAACTCTCAACAAGGTGGTAGTTGGAGTAAGGGGGTAGGATAAATTCAGCTACGGCAAAGAGGAGCGCTTCCAATTGTCAGGATCTGGCTTGGTCGAATCTGGGCCAAAGGTTAGGCCATATTTAATGTGAAAATGGGCCCTCAAACTACCCTTAAACATGGGATTTCACAAACCATAACTTAGTTGGAATTTTGAGGGTTCAGGAAGGTGGTTCCCCAAACAACTGGAGCCTCCGACTCATTTTCACGCGCGGTTTTTGATCAAAGGCAAATGTCCCCAACTCACTAGCCGGGGGGGGTTCTTCTCACTTTCTGCATGGATTGGTCACAAAAAAGTCGACACTTTGTATTTACCTGGAGTCTCCATGACCCTTAAAAAATGAGGTCATTACCCAAAGTTGAGGGGTCATGACCCCTTTCTGGGGGACTCCAGGTACAATGTACCAACTCCACCTGGGACATGGGTCTGAGAAACTCGCCCAAAGTGGAAAGTGGTGGGCATGGTTTCCCTGTGATTAAGGGGCATGACGCCCAAAATTGGGGGGGTGATGGAGGAACCCGCCGTGGGTCTGTCGGAGACACGAACTCTGTCAGCACGGCTGCCTCACTTCGGGGTCGAAACCAACCCATGGGCCACGTGGGGTTGGCCGTGGCTCCCAGCTGAAGGAGCTGTCCTGACCCTTTCACGCACGAACCACGCAGAAAGCACTAAAACAGCACAGCAAAGCACACAAACAAACAAACAAACAAACAAACAACCAACCAACCAACCAACCAACCAACCAAACAAGCACACAAACGTACAAACACGCAAACACTCACACACACACACACACACACACACACACACACACACACACACACACATTCAGCCAAGAACAGGAGCCAACAGCAAACATGCACGTCTGTTTTCTTGTTTCCGCTGAGACGCGTCAGATCCTATCTAGCTTCTCTTGTATCGGAGTGCTGTCACTGCCCCGTGTCGATTGGCCCCAGGTGACAAGGGTGCCATCTTGACAGATTGCAGCGAAAGCGCCGAGGTTGGCTTGAATCTGCTGGACGCTCCTCGCAATGCGAACCCGACTTGGATGACTTTAAGTGGTTGACCACCTGCAAGTCACCATGTGGATAGGGTACATCCTACGTCGGCGACTTATCAACCAACTCAGATGTACCTGTAGGTAATGAAGGGAACCAGCCATCAAAAACACCAAAAAGACCATGGCGAAGGGTTCACCACTGTGGATGGACCCAATCCTGCACCACTCGGACACCAGGGCAAACCATTGTTTGTTGGTATTTACAGGGGAAGCATCAGAAACCGTTGGGTTTTAACGCGGTAAGACCCCCGTAGCTAAACCTGAGCGCTCTGAACCTCTCATCTGGGTGAATTATACTATTTCACCAACCTGAAATAAGGTGGTTGGGGGGGCTATTCCCGACATAAACCACCATTTGCGGTGAGGTCGTGTGAGGTCGTCATTCACCCAGACTCATTACTGTCCCCCTGTTTCACGCCCCACAAGTCAGCTCTTCTCTAAAAAGTTCCAGGTGACAAGCAGAAATAGATTGAACAACACTTAATGTATCAATGGAGGCTGCAGGATGTCATAACCCAGGTGGCTAACCACTTAACTTTCTAGGAATAGCTTCCTCATTTTTCCAGGAAAAATCCCGGGGGAAACGGATCTGATTTTTGAAAATAACCATGGCGGAGAAGAATGGTTCCAATCAACCCCTGGAGAAATGTCGGGTTTTCCTGTTGGCTTCCCCTAAAAGCTACCAACGAGGGGGTAGCTAAAAGGACGCTTGAACTACCCATAAACAAGTTGGAATCCAATATCCAAGTAGGACTCCCTGCATCCAAGACTCCGGAAGGAACAGTGACCATTGGACCTACAAATTGACATGGGAGAATGCGAAAAAAAAAAAAAAAAAAACAAAAAAAAAAAAAAACCCAAGGCTACATACCTGGACCCTCGTCTCTACCCTGAAAAAGATATTTCACCCATGATGTGGGGTTGCTATAACCCATTTTCAAGTCGGAACTTTGAGGGTTCTGGTCGGGGGTTCCTCCAACATACATGTTACAGTGCTGCCCTCGGATGCCCTGCGAAGACTTTTTTAGCTTTGACTTTTAGTGGTTTCATGGAATCCCCACTCCACCTCAACTAAAGCCAAAAAGAAAAGGAAGCGGATGGCTAAATACACAAGTTCAACACGCTTGCCATCAATCGGTCTCTTAAAACGGCCAAAATCTGGAGGTCTTCGTTCCAGAGGCCCCTTGCCAAGACCCTGGCTGCTTAGGACAGGGGGCTGGTGCGTTTTGGGACAACCTCCATGTGAGAATTTTCGTCCCCTGGAAATATGGGTGTGGGTCAAAATTAAAACTAGGGGACCACAGGGTTGGGTTTGGTCCATGTGTCCATTTACAGGATTCCATTTTGGGTACCTAATTTGACCCACAGCCATATGGGAACCTACCCCCAGTGATACATTCCAACTCTAAAACCAACAGGGAAAAATGCCTTCACTCACTTCCGATCGAGAGGAATGGTCAGAAAACGTCAAACAGTCTTTTTTGACCACTGAAATGATCTTCCCAACAATTATAAAGTCCATGAACTCAGGAAGTGAGAAAACATATTATGACTGTCAAATGGAAGACACATGGCGAAAGGTCTCGAAATGGAGCTAAGGATCTTCAGCTGATCCTGCACGTGGCTGCTGTCGCCGCCAGATTCTTGGTCGCCCCATGTCCTTAACCCACGCCGAACGCCTCTAATAACCGGCTTCTTGAAAGTATGATGTCGAGCCCTAAGGAAACAATGAGGTACCTCGCAAAAGCCAGGCTTGGCGATCTGTGTAAACAAACAAAAACACGTACATGTGATATCATCTCTAGCTTAAGTTGGTTGGAGTAGGGGGTTGGTTCCTCAAATTGAAAGATCAGACCCCCAGAAACAGAACACAAGTTGATCTGAGACCTGAAGGCAACGGGAACGCACAGTCCAGTCGCCTGAGCAGACTTAAAGAGAAAAAATCAAACTCAAACCTACCAAAGATCCATCAATCAGAAGCAAACAAACAAACACAAATCAAAATATAGAGGAAGAAAAACAGAAACACCACCACACGAAAAAACCGAAAAGCCCACCAGTAGACAACCAAGGGGTCACTACAGAGCCATCCTCGCGGATCGCCGCGAAGGCAGCAAAGGCGCCGGCGGCGGCTTGGACGTGTCGAACTCCAGTCAGTTGCTCGCGCACCTTCCGGCTGTCGCCGCCATCGCGTGAACTGCCCCAAGTGATCCTGGGGCCGCTAGGGGTGTCTCAAGATGGATGGACGAAATCCATGCAACGCACCACCCAAGACACCCTATGATGATTCCCCTGTAAATACCAACAGGCAATGGTTTCAACCATGGTCTCAAAGTGGTGCGAACGGATTTCGAGGACCCATCCACAGGGGTGTCTCAAAATGGTGAAACAAAACAGCCTGGATCCACATAGCTTCATAGCTTCATGGCTTCCTTCCTGAACCCTCTCCCCTGCAGCGGGGGACAGGGGCGCCAGGGAATCGCGCGCTACTCCCAGGCAACACTGGCGAGCCGTTGCTACGCACTTACAAATCCGACTTACAAATTTGTCAGTTTGCGAACCCCTGGGAATGTTTGCTTTGAGAAATCCAGCAAGACCAAGGAACGGGAAGATGGTAATAGCCCGTCGTACGCAGTTGGGTGGATTACCGTACCCCTTAATCTCCCGCTTTTCAGCTTGCCCTCAAATCCCGAGTTGATAGGTCAAAAAAACGTCCACACTTCTTGTTTGCCACCAAAATGGTCCACCAAAAAAGCTAAAAATCCAGAACTAGAGGTTCAACTCACCAAAGCACCAATTCTAATCACGGGCAACGTCACCAACCCCTTTTTGAGATGCCTATAATTTGACCAGACCCTTGACTAAACATAGTCCATAATTGGAAAGCGGCACAGGGTCAAAAGTATGGTTGCTTGTTTGGCCAAGGATCACTCTGCCATCTTCGCGAATTGCAGCAAAGGCACTGCCAAAAACACCTGTGGCTGCTTGAATCTGTTGCACACCGACAAGTTCCTCTTGGACAAACCTGCTGTCCCCGCCATCTGCTGGATGTCCCCAAGCGATCACCGTGGCATCAGAACGGATGGCGGCAAAAGCACCGTTCGTGGCTTGTATCTGCCGGACTGAAGTCAGCTGTTCTTGTACGAAGACGCTGCAACCGCCTTTTTCGGGCTTGCCCCAAGTGACCACCGACCCGTCTTCACGGATGGCAGCAAAAGCGCTATCAGTTGCTTGGATCTGCCGGACGTTGGTCAGCTGATCCCGCACCTTGCTGCTGTTGCTGGCTGACTCATAACCCCAAGTCACTACAGAGCCATCCTGCCGGATAGCAGCAAACGCACCTGGGTGCTAAGAATTGTTTCCGTCAGTTGGGGGTTGAAACTAAAAAAGCACACAGAAAACACACACGCACAATCCATTTGCTTGTGGCTTCTTTCTTCCGGCCGGTGAACACTCAATATTCCAACTTAAACACGGGTTATAGCCAACGAAACTTATGGTTGGTGAGAACCCATTTTTTAGCTCGTAGTTCTGTCAGGTCCAGGAAAATGTTCTCTTTCGCAGTTCCAGGCATCATGATTGGAGTTAGGCCCAGTTATGGAATGTATATATTTTATTGTTTGCTTCACATGGAGTAGATTCACAGCTGCTTGGGAAGCTTGCAAAAACCAGTCTACTTGTGTCTGCAATTTCGAATTGCAAGACTTGGTAGGTTTGCCAAACTGAAGGTGTCGGTACCGATCACAGCCCTCAGTCTGAAGGTCACTGGAAAAAATAAACTGTATGCTAAGTCTACCCCAGGCACCGAATATACCCCTGGTAGCTTGAACCTCTCGGACATCAATCAGCTGCTCTCGCACCTGGCTGCTGTCACCGCCATCTCCAAGGCTTCCCCAGGTGATCCTTACCCAAAGAGAAACAAGTCCTGGTCAGCTGCACCCGGTCCTCCAGTAGAGAGGTTTGAATAAGTTGGTATCCGACTTTTTTCTGTAGTCTATTTTAGTAGGGGAACCCTCCGCCAAAAAAGGGTAAAAGGGCACTACGGGGGGACCCAGAAGAGAACTACTCCACAAAACAAATGGGATTTCACCAACCAAACTATTTGCTAGAATCCCACACCTTTCCAGAAAAAAACAAAAACTACGGGTTACCTGGACCCTCAAACTACCAACTTAAAAAACAGAGGGGAAAAAACAACGATATTTCACCAACAATAAGGTTGGTTGGCTATGACCAATCTTTAAGGGAATGTTGAGGCTTCAGTCAGCTGTCATATCCTCAACCCGTGAATGGTTGCGTCATCCATGCAACTCGCCACCGTTCAGCAACTCTGGAATGATTCGACTCCCCTGCAAATACCAAGAAGCAATGGTTTCAACCATGCTTTCAACGTGGTGCGAACGGATCTCGTCCACCCGCTGCATCATTCAACCAAGCCCGGGAATGAGGACATAAAGATTGCTAGAGAATGGGTGGAATCCGCCTGCAACGCGCACCCACGCCGTCATGACCCTTCAACAATCTGGGCTGGCCTCAGATCCCCTAAAAAGTTAAAACTTTTAGTGGGTTAAATGGAAAACTACCACTAGACACTCAATTTGCTCAAAAGCTTTTTGAACCGGATGCCTGAAAGCCAAGACATGGGCTGCCACGGCCCCTTTGGGCAATGACCAACCAGTGTTCAAGGCTCAGAGACTCCAAGTAACTTTCTTTTCCCGGGGTTTGCGGATCGGGTGACCCTTGTGGTTGGCTCAGGAAAGCCATCTATGAAGCCTGGAGGTACAAATCCCTTCTAGGTCCTCCAGATGTGAGAGGTTCAAATAAGTTGGTATCCGAGTTTTTTCTGGTTTATCTATTTTAGTAGGAGAACCCTCCCCAAAAAAAGTTGGTAAAAGGGCACTACCGGGGACCTGGCCTTTTAACCTTAATGCTGGATCTACTGGGTGTTGTGCCCACAGCGAGCATTTTAGGTTCACAGCAACCCTGGTTGCCTGTATAGGAGGCAATCAAAGGAACCACCTCAACAAAACATTGAACCGACAATAGGTAGTTACCTATTTTCGAAACAATTCAACTGACTCGCAAGTCATAAGTCTGCGTAAGACGATTACCACTGGGATACTCTGGCTGCAAAGTAGAGTAACAAAGGCTCAAACAACTTCGATTCGCTGAGGATCACTGTGCCATCTTCGCGAATGGCGGCAAAAGCGCCATTCGTGGCTTGAATCTGTCGGACGGAAGTCAGCTGATCTTGCACCTGCGTGCTGTTTGCGCCATAGTCTGGACTGCCCCAGGTAACCACAGAGCCATCCTTAGCAGGGTTGGGCCACCACAACTTGCACATCTTGAAACTGGGCTGTCCGTATTCTGATCCCCTGCTAAAAGTGACTAACTTTTAGTGGGCCAAATTCGGAAACCCAACCACTAAACTCGGAAAAAAATGGAACTGCCACAAAACCCAATCCCCCTCCCCAAAGAAAAAGAGGGAAAGCCCCACTAAGCCCCCTAAAACAACCAACCCCTGGGTTATGGCTTGTAAAGACCGACCACGGAAACCGCTCCTCGCGCATGGCCGCGAAGGCCCCGGCGGTAGATTGGATCTGTCGGATGTTCGTCAGCTGAGACTGCACTGCACTGCTGTCGCCCCCATGCTCCGCACTGCCCCAAGTAACCACGGAGCCGTCCTCGGTATCTCTCACCTTCTTTTGGAACCAAAGCCAACGGGGCCCCACGAAAAGCTGTGCGAAGAGTCGTCCACTGGAAAAACGGAGAACCATGCGTCTAGTAGATCTACCTGGAGTCTCTATGACCCCTAGCAAAATGGGTAATGACCCCCTGTTTAATTACAGGGTCATGGAGACTCCAGGTTGTAGTGATAGATTCCAACTTTAAAGCCAAAAGGGGAACAACACATCTCCAGCAAATGGGAAACGTTGACCCCGGATGAATAAAGCCTTATTCATACGGGGAATCCCCACTAAACCAGAAACAGCCCCTCCCCACTGTCCTCAGATCCCCCGCTAAAAGTTTGACTCTTAGTGGGTTCAATGCAAATCCAACCACTAAACACTAAAAATTTGCTGAGAAGCTTTGGGAATGACTGGACACCACCAAGTAATATGACCCCCAACCATTGCTTTCATGGTACCTCCTGAATCCCAGGGTGAAAGGGCCCCCCATGACATTCGACGTTGGTGAGCAACACGCACTTCCTGATATGGCTGTGGTTGTCAAAACTGTTTTGGGATCCCATGTTGGTTGGGATTGGTGAATTCACCACCCATTTTAGAACCGGGATTTTAGTGGGGGATTGGGATGTTCACTGGGGGTACGATTTGGGCTTTGACCCATAGCCATATGGTCTTTTGTACCCAATACCGTTCCCTTTGCGAACAAGAAAATGAAGATAAACGTACTAACTGTTGCTCATGCACCAGTCAACCAACCAACCAACCAACCAACCAACCAACCAACCAACCAACCAACCAACCAACCAACCAACCAACCAACCAACCAACCAACCAACCAACCAACCAACCAACCCAACCAACCAACCAACCAACCAACCAACCAACCAACCAACCAACCAACCAACCAACCAACCAACCAACCAGTCAACCAGCCACTTTGAGAGTACCACGACCCTCACACTACCCTTAAAACGCTTAAACATTGGCAAATTGGATTTCACCAACCATAATGTTGGGGCTACAACCAAATTTTTGGTTGCAATTTTGAAGGTTGGGGGTTTCCCTTAGGGAATGCCCCCATGAGTCTGCCATGAGTCTCTCATGAGGGGAATGCCCGCCAGCCGGTTTCCCTCAAACTACCCTTTAAAAATGGGATGTCACCCCCATTCTGGGGCTATCACCCATTTTAACATGGAATTTGGAGGCGAAGTCTACCCCCCATATAAAGAGGGGATTCCCAAAAGTATCACAGCGGATAGTCTTGATCCCACAACCCTTCAGCCCGGTTTGTTCGGTTAAGGTACCTCAAACTGTTGAAAATGGGATATTTCACCAAGCATGGTGGTTGGTGAAAAAACTGGTGGCTGGTTATCACCATTTTTTCTCCAAGGGAAGTATGAGGCTTCACCTCAGCTCTTTTGGCTTGCGTGCTTTTTTCTTTTTTCCGTGGGCTTCCAGGTGTCGTCCCGGAGGGCGGCAAAGGCGAAGCCGGAGCCGCGGATCTCGCGGACGCCCGCGGGGAGCGGCGCCAAGGGCCCGGCCTCGCCCCAGGACACCGCGGCGCCGCCCGGGACGTACCTGGCAGCCGGGGGTTGGAAGCCTCATGGAAAGAAAGACCAGGAAGCAGGCAAACACAGAAACCAACTAGACCAAAGGTGACCAAACTGAACTAAACACACACACACAAACAAGCAAACAAGCAAACCAAACAAACAAGCAACCACACACTCCTTCTTCCGCACGGCTGAGGGGATCAATCCGCAAGCACACACTCAATCAATAAAACAACACAAACAAGCGAGCGAGCGAGCAAGCAAGCAATAAAGCAAACACACACTCTTATTCGTTTTCTTCCACACGGCTGAGGGCAAACACACACTCAATCAAACAAACAAACAAGCAAGCAAGCAAGCAAGCAAGCAAACAAACGACCAAACAACCAACCAGCCAGCCCACCAACTAATCAAATAAACAAACACTGATAATCATAAAGAAACAAAGGTATACATAGAGGAAGACAAACACAAAGAAGGCAAGGCACGAAATAAAGAAAGACAGAAAGAAACAAATATATTTAAACAAGAAAAGAACATCAACAAGACAATAAATGGCAAGTGAATCATATTTAAGAACCATCAAAAGCGCACAAGCAAAACAACCAAACACATTAATGACAAACACATAAACCAAGGAACAACCGCACATAAAAACAAGAAACGGGTAAACAAACAAAGGAACACATGCATAAATTGGTGCATAGATAAAGAACACAGAAAATAAACAGATAGGCAAAGCTAACACTTACCGAAAGAAATAGTCAAAAGATTGTGCAACAACGCCAATAGAGAAAGGGGACAAACAAGAAATGAGAAAGGACGGAAGAAAAGAACAAACATAATAATAATAAATACCAGAACACTGAAAGACACGCAAACAAACGGACAAACAGACAAACAGATAGACAAACATAAATAAAGAAGAAACTCAAGAAGAAAGGACATAAAGAAATAACGAACAAATAAATAAATCAACAACTGAATCATAAATAATAATAATCATAATAATAATAATGATAATAATAATAATGATAATAATAATAGTAATAGTAATAGTAATAGTACTAATAATAATAATAATAATAATAATAATACTAATACTAATAATAATAATAATAATAATAGTAATAATAATAATAATATATTACTAGAATAACAACAGGAAATACACAACACAATAAATAAGTAAAAAATGAAAAAGTAAATATATAAAAAAAGAGGCACAAACAGAAAGAACACCATAAAGAACACTAAGAGTTCGAAAACAACTCTCTCCAAGAAACCAAGCGCAAGGGTGGGGGGGTTTTCACCCGGAACTCGGGAATTTGGACACCCAGACATGGCGGTGCTCTGCGAAGACCCCCAGGAACTGAAGCTGGCTTCGTTTTTGGCTCTCTGTTTTTTTCCCCCGTGGCAAGGAGAGCTGGAAGGAGCAGCCAAGAGACTGGCCTGGCTAGGGGTACAAGGAGACTTTCTCCTTCTCTCAACCTCGTGCAAAAAAATGGGTATGCCGTTGTTTTTTTTTGAGGAGCCATGCTTTTGTTGGTAAAGGGAAACCAAAGGCAAACCACCCATAAATTTTGGCGGTCCACTAAAACACACACCACACCAAGAAGAAAACCACAATTTGGGGGGCTCCCCAAAAACTGACCCACCAAGACCTTTCAGTCTTCCAAAAAGAAGGGCCTTGCACCCTACGGTGCGAGTGGATAGGCCCTGAAATCGATCGAAGCGGACCCGCAAACGCAACGAGTAACCTGGAGTCTCCGTCTGACTCCTAGAGTCATGAGTCATGACCCCATTTTTTTTGGTAATGACCAACCATTTTAAAAAGGTCACCGGGAACTCCAGGTAGACCTTTGTTTGGACTTCAACATGGAAAGCCCGCTTGTCACGGGGCGATTCGGTCACACCAAAGCCATGCCCCAAGCATGGGTCAAAACCTGTCTATGGATCCAGATCGCCCCCTTTGAGCTGAGTGGCCAGTGGATTTCCATAAAGGAAAAGGCATGCTCTTTTGGCTGGTTGACTTTGAAAGAATCGGAACCCTTCCCCCCAAAAAAAATGGAGAAAAAAAAGGTGTCACTGGGCAATTGGGTATCACGAAACCAAAGAAACACCAAGTCGACCTTAACGGAATCGGACCCCTTCCCTCCAGAAAAAAACGGGAAAAAAGGGGCGGAAGCCACCGACATTCAGCGGGGGCAACGGCCCTCCGACGATCTGACAAAAATCGCCGGGCGACAGGGCGAACTCCGACTCGGTCTTCGCCACAGCAGCCTGCTGAGCGATGGCGTCCACGGTGGCGCCAGCTGTTATGCCCGCCTGCCAAGCTTAGCCACCGACAGAAACTTGGTTGACGTTGGAAGGGGAGCACAAATTGATGAAACAACTAGTAGTTGAGTGGGGATTTTCAACCACTAAACCACAAGAAGCAAACATGTAAAATGTTTCCCAACAACACACATGGTAATGTTGACCCCAAATTCATCAACCCCCAGCTTATTGATATGGGGGTGTCCCTGGGTTTAGTGGGGGCATCATCACTTTTGGAGGGGAACACGTAAACTGGCGTTGATTAATATGGGGTCAACAGCTGGCCCCATGGGGTAGGCCCCCAACTGTTGTAGGGAAATACGTGGGATGTTGGGTACCCCTTCTCGCTCTCTGCGAATGAACAATCCTGGATCGCCAGTTGCTGTTTGTTCACTTTACCTCAAAAACCGATCGCAACAGTGACTGAAAAGAGCGATCGCAACTTGGCTATCCAGGATCCAGTCTTTGTTTTTGTTTTGCCTTGCTCTCCGTGCTGCGCAGTGCCCGGCAATATCGCGTGACGCTGGCGAAATGAAACGCTTGACTACGCCGGCGGCCGAGGGCCACAAACTTGCAAACCAGAGGTGCGTGTGCAATACGCAAGCCCATGGCCACCAACGTCAGGTGCCAGTAATATTGTCCGTTGCTCATATCAGGGACCCTACCCATTTAATCTCTTTAAAGATTCATGTAAGGGCTGTTTGGGTCTCGATACGCACCCGAGGTTGCACACCAAGAGGCCAAAAGTGGCGTGTAGGGTCTTGAAAATGAGGCTGGGGTTGGCCTGCGCATACCCTTCCAGTTTGAAGGCCTAAGTTTGGGCAAAGTTGCGGGAAAGGGCATTTTGACCTACCCCCTATAAATGGCCTGGCTTCGGGTGGTTTCGCCTTCAACTACAAAGGGCTCCTGGTCTTCAACTTCTCGTCCCAGTTATTTTAGATATGGAACAAGGAAACCCTGTTGAGCAGTGGGAGCCCAAATGGATGTGGCTCAAAACTCAAGAGCTGGGTACGCAGGTTTTAGTCTTTGGTTCCATATACGACATCTATTTGAGCCACAGCCAAATGCTTTCGGATGCCGCTCCATGAACTGCCCCGACCTTACCCTCATCTTCCTCGCTTGAAAGCCGACTTTGCAAAGCCAGGTCCGCCTGGAACGACCTCGGGCCAGGCCGTAAGGAAGCCTTGGGTTAAATACGGTCATGGGATTTTAGGGAGAGGATTTGGTTTGCTCCGCGTCTCCGAAATAAGCATCAGATTTCACACCATGGTCTTTTTAAGGGCCGTGAGCTATGCTGGGGTAGTTGAGGCTTGACCCCTCAAAACTCCAACTCCAAAATGGGTTTTGTGAACTCCTTTTCTTTTCTATGGGTAGGTTTTTCGGGTCCGATCGGTACCTACGTAAAACAAAGGTAGCTGAAACTCACTGGGCGAGGTAATTTCGGGGACCTCAAACTGATTACCCATAAAAAGGTCGGATTTCACCCATTCCCTATTTTCTCCGGCGTTCTAACCCATATTTTTCAGTTGGATTTTTGGCCTCAAACCCCACGTTTACGTTGGACTTTTTCGGTGTTCAGGTCCTTTTTGCTTGTTTAAGCTGGGCAGAACCCATGTTTCATTTGGACATTTCTCGGCTCCAGGCCTCCTTTCCGCGCTTTCCGTTTGGGCGCAACAAATCCACGCGGCGTCGAAGCGAACCCGTCGACCTGCGTCGCATTCGGAGCGCCTGGCTCAGGGACTTCTCGAGCTCCAGGCGCCGCGCGCGGAAGACGAGCTGCAGAAAGCGCTGGCCGAAGCGCCGCTGGGCCGCCGCCTTCCTCGACGCGCGGCTACGGACGCGCCCGGGAGGCAGGCGCCGAGCCCCGAAAAAAAGACCAAAACTAATGGCCAAGAATGGAAGTTGGGAAGAACTAGCTGGAGTACTTTGGAGACCCCCCCCCCAAAGAGAAAAAATGGGACTCGGGTGGCAACCAAAACATCGCTCTCAAGTCTGGAGCTGCTAGAGAAAACCGCCTCCGAGCCTCAAACAATTCCAACTGCCTTAAACATGGGTAATTGCAACCCGAAGAATATATGGGTACAATTTCCCCATGTTTAAGTTGGCAGTTTGAGGCTCGGTCCAGGTAGTCATAAAAATAGAGAGTTCACCAACCATATCATGACCCATTTTGAAAATTGGTTGTGCTCAACATGCCTCCAAATACCAACCTGGGCTGAACCTGGAAGATCTACCCATAAACACATGAAAAGAACTTCAGGAACCACAACTTTCAACAATAACTTTCAGCAATTTCAGACCTGGACCCGAATTTTGAAAATAGGAATTCACCAACCATAACTTTGTCGAAGTTGGCATTTTGAGGGTGGTGCCTTTTTGCAGGGACTGACATGGCCCCATGTTTCAGTTGGCATTTTCAGGGTCCAGGAACCTTGTTTGAGGGTATGAAGACAAATGCCTGACGAAGGAGTTGTGTTTGCCATAAGCAAAAGCAAGAACTTAGGTATTGGGAGCAATTCAGGGGCCCAGTTTTGGTTCCCCAAGGCCCCGCAAAAAAAGAAAACGGGTGTCTTGGGTGGCCACTTTGAGCCACCGATCCAAACCACCAACTCATATCCTGAGTGGGTTGGCCAAACAAGTCCAAAACTGTGTGGTTGCCCACGAAACTGGCGCAGATCCGAACAGTGACCCACTGGTCTGAAACGGAACTCAATCAGAAGTGAGCGAATTCAATGGACGTGAAAACATACATGCCGGGACCCTCACAAATCCAACTAAGAATTACCTAGCTAGCAAGTTGCTGATTTTTTTGTCAGTCACTGCTGCGATCGGTTTTGGGGGTAAAGCGCATGGAAAAAAACGATCGCAACTGGCGATCCAGCTATGTTATTGTTGCAACCAACAAGTATGGTTGGTGCATTCCAACTTGTTTATGGGTGGTTCGAGGGTCCAGCCACCCCTTCTTGGTAGCTTTCAGGGGAAGCCAACAGGAAAAACCCAACTTTTCCATCATCGTTCTGATCAAAAACCTGATCCGTTGTCCCTGGATTTGTCTGGAAAGAAATACATGGAAGGTACCCCTAGAATTTCGGGGGCTGATTTTTTCCGCTTGGCTTCAGCTCACCGACCTTGCTCTCCGGGGAAAGCTGCACCGAGCACGAGCTGCCACTCGCCAAGCACACTTGCACCTCCATCGGCAAGCGCAGGGAAAGGCCGCAGCCCCGAGAAACCAGTCACCTGGACCCTCAAACTACCCATGTCAGGCTAGAACGCAAGTGGGGCTACTATTGATTTGGGGCTATAACTCATGTTCAACGGAATCTGGTGGGTTCAGGTACGCCCCACTCCAAATGCTACCTTCGATGCACAACAACGTTCAACAAATAACGCATCATCCTTTTCGGCAACTCCGTCTCTGCTTTCAGCTTGAGCTGAACGGCCGCGCTGGTCAAGCGTTCGCAACTTCCTGAGTGGATTAATTCCCATTTGCTTAATAACTCCTGGAAAAGAACCGCAGTTCCAGTGAAACGACCCTCCAAATACCCTTCAAACTTGGCGTTTGCCCCAAGATAGAGTTTGTGAAATCATTATATTTTTTATTGTTATTTTAAGGATCTAGATTGGCCTCCGCTTAAAAACGTCCAAACGGGTACCATCCAGTTTTTTTGTAGTTCAAGGGTAAACACGTCCAAAAGGGGCACCCTCGACAAAAGACACACCCGCTGGACCCTCACACTTCCCTCAAACAAGGAAATTCACCCCATTTCATTTTGGGCCAATATGTTATATCCCATTGCTCAGGATATTTTGAGGGATCCACCCCTACAAACATGACTAAAGTACACACACACACAGGTTTAAGAGAGGGCCGCTCCAGGTCAGCTCTGTAAACACGTTGGGAACCTTTCGTGGATCCGAAAGGTGGAAATCGACATGCTCGACATAGGTTTCCTTTTAGGGGAAACAGATGGCCCTGGTAGATGATTAAACCACCAGGTAAACCAGGGCCATCTATTTTCTAGCAAAACAACCAAAAAAGGACACCTATGATGCTGGATCTCTCCAAATGTCAACTTCTCAAACTCATACTCCTGTGGCTCCCGTGTTACGAAGCCACAGAGCGTCACAAAATATCCCAACAAGGTCAGCATGGCTCTCTAAGAGTCTGCATGAGATGAAGTCGATATCTTCACAGCCTGCTTGGTCATGCTTGGCCATAAGCCGGCCGCCCATCGCAAGGGGCCAGGAGGTCGTTCGGCCAGGGTGGTATATGGTCAGTAACCTCGGTCTTGACCCACAGAGTATGCTTTGAGCATCACCCCACAAAAAGTAAACTCATCCAAGATTAGCCCCCAAAAGTAACCACCTGAACTCTCAAAATTACTTCAACTAGTGATAGGCCCCCAAATTGTTGGATTTCAAGTGACCTTTAGTCCAGGAAGAGGGGGTTTCGGAGTATACGCCACTTATACAAGGGTATATACTCCCCTAACTTGCGCTTACATTCATGACAACAATATATCATCCTAAACCTCCAAAGCGAATGGCAACTTGACTATAGGGTAACTAAGGTCGGTGCCCTTACAACCATGGTTGTATGACCTACTGACCCGAACCCTCAACATTCCCTCAAAAAAAACTTCACCCCATCATGTTGGGGCTGTAACCATTTTTTTGGGGGAATTTTGAGGGTCCGGGCACGGTATTCGTGGCAAACAAATCTACGTCCTCCAGTAGAGAGGTTAGAATAAGGGTACCCTTTTTCTGCAGTCTATTTTAGTAGGGGACCTCCCCTAAAAAAATGGTAAAAGGGCAATACTGGACCTAGAAATGAATGGCGGCGAGAAGGACTTGGCCTCCGCAGCAGCTGGTTCTCCTCTCGGATGAAGGCTGCCTCATCCCCAGAGATGGCCTGGCGTGAGCGCCGGAAGCGCGCCTCGGACTCTTCTGCTGAAGCAGCTGATTGGTGGTGACGGTGGTTTGGTTTTTTGGTTTGGTGGTTTGGTGGTTGGGCTTTTTGGTGGTTTGGTGGTTTGGTGGCTCAGGGGTGGTTCTCCATCCCTCTACAAGAACCAGGACCCCGAAAACCTGGAATCATCTTGAGACAGGCCCAAACACTTCAGCTATGGGTTTCTGTCCTTCTTGAGGGTACCCTTGTTGCGGCTGGTGCATTTCATCCAGGGAAACCAACAAAACACAGCCAGCCCCTTGTAGTTTGACACGTACCCAAAACAGGCCATGAGTTTGGTAGGGAACCAGGTCTCAAAAGTGGTTGAACATGAATCCCTCCCGCCCCGAATTGTGAGGCAAGCTGTATCACTGTACAAGCAGAGTGGCCGCGGCAAATATTGTGCGAACAGGCGTTCTCCCTGGAGGTGTCGGTGCTACAGAGAGTGGCAGGGCTCAAAGCCATTTTCCCATTTGTGGAGTCGGCCTCTTACAATGCTGGGGTGCGTGCAACGATGCCCATTGAGCTGGTCATCGACATGAAGCAAGGCGTGATACTTTTCTTGTCTGAATCCGATGTTATGTCGACGTCCGACATCGTCCCCAACGTGGCTCTTTAGACTTTAGCTTTTTGGGAAATCAAGGGTTTTCCTCTGAATCCACAAAAAGTTTTCAACTTTTTGCAGAGGGGTCAACAGCAACCATTTTTTGGGGGTTGGTTTCAAGAGGACTTAAAGGAAAACCACCTATTTTGAGGGTTCCCCTATTTTGTCGGGCTGACCCGAAACGTCCTCCAACGGAGACAAAGCCAAACCAGCTTTGCGTGCTTCTTCCGGGAGATGTTTCCGGTACACAGCCGAAACCAGTTTGCACTTGCGGGTGAAATCCTCTTTTTAGGGTAGTTTGAGGGTCCAGATCACTTCATGCAGTTGCCGCTCATTCTCCTGTATTGGTCCCAAACATAGGGTCGAGCGTCTGGCTTTCACGCCTTAGTGCACCGATTGTGCAGTCAAGTCGGAGGAGGAGCCTTTGGCGCAGCTTTCATCTCCAATGCCTCGAGGCGGGAGAGCTCATCCGTGAGCATCTTCTGATCCACACCGGCAATGCCGACGCAGCTCAAGAACTGCTCCTTGTTGTCCTTCGAGAGCTTGTCGATCCTCGACATCAAGTAGGTCAGCAAGCTTGCCTCGATGGCAGCAGCTTCCATGCCCAACTTGATCTGATCCATGACGGACCCCGAAGAAGACGCAGCAGCGCTCCTGGCTCCAAGCTTTGCCTGATCAAGGATGGCCTTGTACTCGGGCAAGCTTTGGTGCTTATTATTTTCTTGGACCAAGTCGAGCCAATCAGAGAAACAGTGTGCTCCTGACAGCACATTGGTAAGGGAACATTCACTTTGCACCCCGCGCTACTTCAAATTGTCTAGGATGAAACGTACGTGACGACTTGTTGCTTGTTCAAAGGGAACACAAACGAAACCAAACATGGCGAATGGGCACACCGGTTGGCCAAGTCTAGCAATGTTCGGGAATTATATCCAACAAACATTTGTCCAGCGTGTTCCGACATTCACCCTCCAGTTGCTTAAGCCCCTGGACAAACTCCAGCAGTGATAGAGTCCCTTTAAACTCAACAGAACAAACCCAACAACATCCTGAACCGCAAAAATAATATCACTGAACGTGATGGAAAGACAACTAATATTCCACGCTTCATTTCGGTGCGTCAGAGGGGCTTTCGCTCCAAAAATCCGGGTGTCTCGTGGACGACCAAACACCAACCCCGTCGGTGCCTCGGTGCCAGTTTCAGGCCTCGAGAGGAAGGAATCAAAAGGGCCCTTCAAGGGGGGGCTTCGAGGGAGGCTGAGGGGAAATGCGGGGTTGAAGCTTTAAAATGGGCTGTAGCAACCCAGAAACTATGGAATTGGTGAAATCAACCATGTTCAAGTTGGTATTTTGTGGGTCCAGGGTGTGTTCCCCCCCCCCCATCCCCCCCCCCCCCCCCTGCCCACTTACATGGAACCTGAGGTTTCGGACAAGCTCCAGGTTTGGACTATTTTCTGTTAAAAGGAACCATCTGGTGGGTTCCATGTTGGTGGACAGGAGTTTTGGTTTGTCCTTCTGGTTCAACTTGAGAAGCATCCACATGGGCAAGTCAGTGAGTGCCCCTCCATGTGGGAGATTTTAGTGATTTACCCCGCGTCAGTCTCAAATAAAGCTCATGTGGGTGGGCCCCAGAATCCAGCAACAGTCCCGTCACTTGGCCGTTAGTTTAGATTTCGAAAAATGCTACCAAGGGGACATGTCCATCCCTATGTATCCCAATGTAAAGGGTGTTTGACAATGGCACATATGAAATGCCAAACAACATGACCACCAGAAGCGCAAAGACGCTGTCTATGTGTTACGGGCGTTTCGCCGCTATGGTGAGTAACTTTCGCCAGTTTCCTTTGGGTGTGTAAACGGTGGCAAGCCCTTGTTCACCTACAAAACCAGGTGAATCACTTGACCAGGCAAATAGAATCACTGAGATTGGTAACTGGGCTGACTTGGTTTACCATGGTTACCTACTTAAATGAACCCACCGGGTCGTCTTTTTTCTTGCGAGGCAAAAAATCGGTGTTGACTCGACACCTGCGGGACAGGGGTAAGGGGCCTTCATGTGTGAGCTCGTTTTGAAAATTGGAGAGCTGGTAACCATTGGTGCAGATATTAGAACATCAATAAACATACCTGAACCTGAAAGAGCTACCCATAAAGATGGAAGAAATTCACCAACCGCAAATTTGGCAAATCACCCATTTGCAAAGTTCTATTTTGACGGTCCAGGTATATATTATATACATATATGTATATTTGTCAGGGGTACCTACTGTGATGATAGCCGACCCTACATATCATGTGCTTTGACCCCCAAAGATCACATAAAATAAGGTGTTGCGACGGGAGCATCATCGAATTTGCCATGGGGTTGATTTGGCTTTTGGGTTCCGTCGTGGCTATTCAGACTGCTCGCGAAGGGTTACAACAAAAAACAACTGTATAGTAGAACCCCAAGCTGGTTGACACTATCCCCACTTGGTTGACCTGACAATTAATGTTTTTGCAGTTCAGTGGTTGGATTTCCACCACTAAACCACCATAAGATCCAAAATGTAAAGCACGTTTCCCAACCACAGCCACGGCTGGGTCAACCTGTGTTGGCACCCGAGTGCTTAAGAGTTGAAACGTGAGGCACTTTCTTCCAATGTCCTGGACCCCTTACCTGCAACGTCCCTACCCACCATTC